TCTTATTCTTACTTCAAAGTAAGAATAAGAGCCTCCGGAAAAGGGCACTTTTTCCGGAGGATCGGGGCCAGTCTAGACGCTCTTTTCCGGCTTTTTTAAAAGCCGGAAAAAAGCGGCGGACATTTTTATTTAAATGCCGCGGGGGATATTTAAATCCCCCGCAGATTTCCCTACGACGACTAGTAAAATTTACATGCCCCTTCCGGAAAAGGGGCCAGTGTAGACGTAGCCACAGAGTGCTCCAGCCAGCTCTTGCTGGAGCACAGCCAGCTCTTACTGGGATGCACTGCCTTACTTTCCTCTCTGGTTAAAGATAAAATAGACCAAAAAAAGACTATCTTGATATAAGCAATTATACACATTTTAAATTAGGAATTAATTTTTCATTTTGATTTAAAAAGTTGCATATGTTTTGGGAATGACAAAAAAGCCATATTTGGTTCCCTATTGAGACATATTTGGCTTGAGAGCCATAGGTTGCTGACCCCTGAACTATACCATCCCTGACAGTGTTTGCCTAACCTGCTCTTAAATTTCTCTAGTGACGGAGATTCCTCAACCTCCCTAGGAAATGTATTCCAGTGCTTAACCATCCCGACATTTAAGAAGTTTTTCCTATTGTCCAACCCAAGCCTCCCTTGCTGCAATTTAAGCCCATTACTTCTTGTCCTATCTTTGGAGGTCAAGAATATTCCTCCCTGCTCCCAACACCCTTTTAGATACTTAAAAGCTGGTATCATGCCATCTTTCAGCCTTCTCTTTTCTAGACTAAACAAATCCAATTCTTTCTGTCTTCTCTCCCGGGTCATGTGTTCTAGACCTTTAAACATTTTTGTTGCTCTTCGCTGGACGTTCTCCAATTTGTCCATAAACTTCATGAAATGTGGCCCCCAAAACTGGACACATTACTCCAGCTCAGCTGAGGAGTAATCAGTGCAGAGCAGAACGGAATCTTGTGTCTTGCTTACAACACTCCTGTTAATACATCTCAAAATGATGTTTATTTTTTTGCAACAGTGTTACACTGTTCACTCATGTTTAGCTTGTGGTCCACTATAAGCCTCATATATCTTTCTGCAGTACTCGTTCCAAGGTAGCTTTTCCCATTTTGTATATGCACAACTGCTTGCTCCTTTCTAAGTGCAGTATTTGCATTTGTCCTTATTGAGTTTCATCCTATTTACTCCAGACCATTTCTCCAGTTTATCTGGATTGTTTTGAATTACTATCCTATCAGGGATGAGGTTTGTGAAAAGGGGATCTCTTTGCAAACATTTCCTACGTCTTTCCACCAGTCCAAGGAGTTTTTATTCTTGGTGGGTAGAGACAGGAGTTTGTCTAGTCTGTCTCTGGTCATCACATATAAAGCCTGGCATATGGTATTACTGCTGTGCTTGTTGCCATATGCCCCAAAAGTTGCAGGCAATGTTATTTGCTAATACTTCTGGGCTGTTTTGAATGGTCTTTATAAGCAAGGCCAAAGAGAGGAATCTGTGTTGAGGTAAGAGTGCTCTGGCCTGTAACATGTCAGGCAGGTGCCTATGAATTACAGGCATTGCACTGGAATTGAAGGTTGACTTCTGGAGAAGCCCAATTCTGTGAAAAAGTCTATTCTGGATTTGGTTATTCAAGACTCTTGGAAGGACTGGACTGTGAGGACACAATCATCCAGAGAAGGGCCCATCATGATCCTTTGAGACCACAAGTACATGGACACTACTAAAACTCAGAGCTAATTATAACCCAAATGGGAAGTACTGTGTAATGGTAGTGGTTTTGTCCGAAGGTAAATCTGAGGAACAGTTGGTGGGATGGGAGGAAGGAAGGTAAGTGTCTGTGAATTGATGATATTAGAGGTAGGGAGAGTGGGATGTTTGTGAGTTAATGGTATTAGAGGTGATAATTGGGGAAACTATTACCAAGATAGGGTTGGGCAACCTAGAAAAGGGAAAACTTAGAAAACAACGAATAGTCTAGTAGCACCTGCAGCACCTTAAAGATTAACAAAACATGTAGATGGTATCATGAGCTTTAATGGGTACAACCCACTTCTTCAGATCAGGGCCGACTTAGCCATTAGGCACAGTAGGCACAGTGCCTAGGGCCCACGATACTTTTAGGGGCCCACGAAAATGTTTTAATTTCTAACTGCAAGGATAAAAATTAATATCATATCTCTAAAAATTCTGTATTAAAATACAAAAAAAATCACAGTATTTAAAAATTTAATTGTTTATATTATATTATTAATTGCAATAATTCAAATCGGAAGTTAGAGCTCAACTCAACAATCGGATATTACACCGTAATGGAATTTCCATCAGTAATGCACTTTTGCATTTTTACTGAATAATTTCTTGCACATGTATACATATAATAATTTTATGGAACTACTTATCAGTTCTGAAATATGATGAGTATATTTGAGATGTAACCGTTTTTTTCAAATGTTATAATTAAGCACACAATATAGACATGATAAAATATACATGTGCACGTCATACCATTCAAATTTATTCACACGTATTTAGTGAATAACAATCCTGTATTTGCAAAATTAATAAATTATTTATATAAGGTAATCCCTAACCTAAATAGATGATAACTTACTGATGAAATTACTTATAATACGTACCTTTTAAGTAATCAAAACAGAGAACACTTTGATATATGCACTATTATTTTGTACTATAGTGAGAAGCTTAGTGACTGTAAACTGTATGGCCAATATGGCCTCAGCCATAGGCGCCAACTGAATGATGGCGGATAGGAGGCCCACTTAGCCTCAGTGCAGTTTACTTCTCACAATAAGTGAGATACATACTTAGACTGCGTTGGTATAAAGACGAATATAATCCAGCCTGGATTATATTTGTCTTTATACCAACGCAGTCGTAAAATATAATTTTTAATATTTTTTGTTTATGGAGGAAGGGGCCCACGAAGGCAAAAGTGCCTACGGCCCACAAAAGTCATAATGCTGCCCTGCTTCAGATGACCCGAGTATTAGAAGTCCAGACCCAAGAATAAGTAAGGGAAGGTGAGTATGTGGGGGGGAAATAAGAGAAAACAAAATAGTGAATTGGATTGTTCAAGTTACAAGAGGCTGATGAGAACAATTTGCACCTCTATAAGCACCGGTTGGTTAAGTCATTAAGATGTGTAAGGTACCATCTACATGTTTTTGTTAGTTTTTTAAGGTGCTGCTAGGCTATTTGTTGTTTTTTAAGTTTTTCCAGTTACAGACTAACTTGACTACCCCTCTGAAGCTCTAGAAAGGGAGTGGGCAACATAAATGACTCTCCTTCACCTCAGTGGGCCGCAGCCCACAGCTCATTGGGGGTCCACATGCGGCCTTACTGGACTCCTCCATGTGCCTCTCCCACACTGGGGCACAGGAGCCTCAGACTTACCTGCTCCTCCCCCTCCCTTCCAGTACTTTCAGAGGAGCTGCAAATTGCCTAATTTGCTCTCAGTACCTGCTCTTCCCCCTCAGTCCCAGAGCTGGAATGCTGCATACAGCTGATTTGCAGCATTCCAGCTCTGGAAGGGTGGAGGGGGAGCAGAAATGGAGGGTGAATAAGGTGATTCATGTCTCCTCTGAGAATGTTGGGAAGGAGTGGGAGGAAGAGGAAATATGGGCTCTGGTGCTCCAGTGGACCAGAAGCTTGTGGGGGAAGAGGGCAGCCAGGGGGTCAGTGGACTACAGGTGGAGCCCCAGTTGGCCGCATGCAGCCCATATGACGTAGGTTGCTTACCAATATTGTATAGCATTAGTTACTAATATGGAATTATATTCATCAGGTTTCTATGATCATATAATGAAAAGCCATATTATTATGCATATTATGGCAAAAATACAGCTGTGAGAACAGTACTTCTGCATATATTACTTTTTCAATTACATTTCAGTGTAGTATTAAAATAATGGT